TCTATCTGTACCCTCCAGACACCATCAAGCAAACTGCTTCCAAGGATACTAAAAGAATATCTCTGTGGAAACCGGTGTTTGGAGATATTAGAACAATTACATGAAGTAGAAGAGTTGATCAGTGATTTATCTGTACGGTAACAATAGGGTTTTTCAGATCAAAGTTTAAGGAAGTCTTCTATTGTGAAACAAAGGCTCCTGAATTCCCTCTGTATTAGTATAGCACTGAAAAGTCACTGCTACAGCAATATTTACACATAGACAGAAATTGTGCATGTGCTGGGGTATTTAGTTATCATTAAACAAGTATATAGTATTCCTATTAATTTTTTTCTGTATTTTCTCCTGTCAATAGTTGATAAAGCTTTCCATCAGACAAACACATCAGCACAGTACCACTTCAGACTGACTACATACATGGAGGCAAGATAAATCTCTTCTGTTCCCCCCTATTTGTTGATACAGTAATTATCTATACAGAACCATAAACATATACCAAAGATTTGCTGGAACAAAAATAACGATTCTTGCTGGAATGAAAATAATCATCATTACTGGGGGTTTTTTTAATTGTTAACTCAACAGGCTCAAACAGCTTGGAATTAATTCAGATAAAACCAGGCGCAAAGCAACAGTTGCAGAAAGATCACTGTTTACAAGTGCAAAGAAGCAAATTTTCAAAGAGGAGAAGCCAGAAGAGAAGTGAAAGGATACCCTATACATTGGGCCCAGGGAAGGAGCTGCCAATTTCTGAGAAGGTAAAGCAAACCGGGATGGTAAAGGCCAAGGGGATTACAAGAAGTGCAAAAAGCAAGAGAGGATAAAGGAAACTGATACTTCAGCCACGGGAAAATACCTTATTAACTCTTCTCGCCACCTCCAGCCTGCTCTTTTTTTATAAGAGCTTCCATTCTCAATGTGTGTGTTCACATGACTTCAGAACTGCTCGAGTTCTCCTTTCCCAACCAGTAATGGTTTATCGAGAGCCCTAAGACACCCCCAAACACCAGTGATCTTTTCTTAAAGCAGCCTCATTTTTGAGAGCATAAAGAGTATATGTTAAATCTAAATACTGTGACATCAGTGACAAATACAGGTAAAAACGGGCCTCAGCGTTCAAGCTTGACCCAATTATGAATGGATGAAAAAAGCAGACTTGCCAATTATCTCATAACAGAACCTGGAAAGAGAATTCAGTTTCCTCACAGAAACTTCCCCCCCCCGCCTCGCTTTAGTGTAAAGCTCTATATTTGAAGTTACAGGAGTACTTTTTTTTCTTCTTCTTGCCCGAAGGTCAACGGTCAAAGAACAAGCACGAAAATGATCCAACTTTGTATGTCAGCTGAAACAGCAAAATCTTTGAGCTGGTTGAGGGCACCAGATGCTGGGGAGAGAATGACATTCGCAGGGTAAAGGGAAAATACAAGGGTGCAACTGGCACCACAGCATCGCTTATTAAAATTTCCTTGCTATCTTATTTCGCAGTGGCAAACTAGATGTATTATTCTCTGTAATCAGAAGACTTGCTTCAGAAAATCGCCAATTCAGTAGCAAAGCTGTTTTTGTTAAAACAAAAGGAAGATCTCTATCATCCAAGGAGTTTCCCTGTTTTGGGAACTAATGTATGCACTAAAATGATCTAGGGAGGTGGGGAACGAACGACCAATGAAACTATAGCTTAAAAATGCTCGTAAAAAAAATAATCCAGATAATATTAAAAAAATCTAAATTAAATAGAAGTAGTGATTCAAAAGTATCTTTTTTCTTAAAAAAAGTTTCCTGTATTACTGGCTACTATTTAAAGAATAACAATATTATGGCAGTTCATAGAAAACGTATAGGATTTAAAAGACTACAAGAACACAGCATGGTATAAAAGCCTTTGTACTGCTTTGACTTTTATTGACCTACATGTCAATTTACTCCTCCCCAAGCATTACAACCCTAGGTGAAAAAAAATCAAAGCAAGCTTCCTAGAAATGGATACAACCAAGAGCTAAAGTGGAATGCAATTGTTATTCAGAAATTCATCAGAAATACAAAAGGTGATCCACGTAAATCAAGTTCCTTTCCTGAAAATATATTAAGTTTATATTTCAAAGAAGCAGTAGCGTTATCTTATATTTAATTAAAATCTGGCAATGCACTGAAATCTTTTTATACTTTAGTTCTGAGTAAAGCATTAATAAATGTATTCATATTTGAATAAAATCTAACCATGTTGTATACGATCTTTTATAGTAGATGAAGACCTACGTGAAAGTAGAGACCTTGGATATGCAATAAAAAATAAATTAATCTTCTCAGTAACACTATAATAAATTGTTCCGCCGTTCTCAATCATAGCTGTCTTTAGTAATATAGTAAGAAAAACCTATTTTAAACATTTGCTACTCTTTCATATGGAAAAGGATTTAAGAAAAAATACCTTTAATAACAGTGCTTTCATATCATTCACCAAATACTTGAACAGATAGGTCCTTCAAACCAAGCTACTCCTATGTGATTAACACTAATTATTATTGAAATTTTTTTAAATACCCAGCAAATCTACTTTTCATTTAGCGAAGCAAAATGGCCTCTTCTCCTGTCTCATAGCACCTTCACTGTAATATAGAGCAGTCCTAAAAATTACTGCTGTCAAACATGGTACAATTTTAACAGGTTTTTAAAAACCTATGTCTACATAAACTCATTAAATCACTGTGATATCTTTGTTAAGAGACCGCCAAATGTTTCATAAAGGATGTTGGCCATTAGTCACGTTAGATTTCCAAACCACGTATTTTAATAAACACATGCAAAGATTAAAAAATTCTATTAAAAATATGTGCCATAATTCAATGAGAAACACCAGTATTGTCTATTGAGCTCACTGCAAAGACAAAAGTGAATTCTAATACAAAGACCAGAGGAAGGAATGAAGAACAATTTATTTTCCAAAATGGAAAAAATATGCATCCTTGAAAGCAGATAGATTCTTACTAGAATTTAAATAAACAACAGCTCTTCCAGTCAAAGGCAACCGCATTTCCCTCCCTGATTTACATGTCATTCTCATGGCAGCAACATTCAAATGACTGTACAGGGATATTCAAACTACAAAGAAAAACCCTGTAAAAAGGCCAAAGTTTTTGCTATTCGGACTGTTCAGATTTTCCTAATAGCGCGATAATTTCCAGGTTTTTACATAGCACCTGTAGTAGCATTATATATCCCGTTGCAAATAGAAAGCACAACCAAACTTTGAGCTGAGTCTTTGCCAGAAATGACCCACAACAGAACTAAATAGAGAGACATACTTACAAGACACCTCCCAGATTCTCTGAATTTGCTTTAGTCCCTTTACCTTTGTATTCAGTGTTATACAGAGCAATACAATATTTGTCATGAACGCTGGCGTGTAGAAAGAATAATTCTATATCTAATTCTAAAACTGTTTTTTAACCCGAGTGCTACAGCTCTGCCTTTGTACGCAAACACAACATCAGGAATGCAGGTGAGAGGACGATACAACTTTGAAAAGGCACTCGCAAATAGCTATAGAGCCAAGATGCATCTACCTTGGGCCAAAGAAAAAAAATGCAAAGATAAAAAGCAACCCCTTTAACAATTTAAGTCTTTGTTCACTCCTACAATAAAGCGGAGAATAAAGGGCAAGGTTTAATTTTTCAGAAGCCACCTGAATATCCTCTTCCCAAGCGTTCTCACAAAAGTATCTCTCCTTTTCCTTGGAAAACCACAGTGGTGGAAATGGAGAAATAAGTCCTGGCTCTGCAATATATCCCTCATCCTCCCCCAACAAGCCGTTTGTTTTCCAATAGACTTACTTAAGCCAGATTTCGATAGAATTTAAGTCGTCCAAAGGTAACAAAAAAAATTAATTTAAAAATTAAACATTCAATTTCGTTTAGCTACACATAATGGTTGTCAGTAAAAGACACAGCCTACTAGTCTGCTGGAAAGTAAAATGAAAAAGCCTCAGTGTCAGTCTTACATCTTATAGGGAAGGCGGTGGTGCGCGGAAAACATATGTCGTTAAAGGTGCCTTACCAAAATGTCCAGTTTTGGTATAAAATAATCCATGCATGATAAGTAATTCTAATGCTGATTAGTAAAGATTATTTTCTGAATACTCTTTAAACTACAAAAATCACCTTAAATTTTTAAATATTGCCATTGCAGGCCTTTTTAATATAGGCTCTTAGGAAAATACACCATGCCATCGTCACAAAATGTATCGAAAAAATGCAAGAAGATGTTTTTTGAACTGAAAACTCATAAAGATCATTTTCCATGCTGACAGTGCGCATTTCATCCAGAAGTTTGAAGAGTCAAATGCTACCCCAGCTGGGGGTTATTCTGCCAAATGGCTTCCAACAGTGACCACAGAGATGGAGCATGGGAGGGGTGCATGCGTGTATAGGAAAATAAACGTGATGGTAAGCAACCCCAAACCCACATCATCTTATCAAATATCCGACATACGTAGCCAAACACACAATGCAAATCTAGAATACAAAACTGAAACAAAAAGACATGAACAAAATGAAATAAAGCCATTTGTGAGTTACCTGCAGAGATTTAAAACAAAAAAAGCATACGAATGAAGCAGATATCATTCATATGGATTTGCCCAGGAAGGAGAAAAGGAGGGGTGAGTGTGAGGGCTGGGGGGGGAGAAGAACAGATACCTTTCTTTCTTAAACAAATCCATCATGAAAGAAAATGAGACAAGATTATAAATAGGCCAAGTTATAGCGCACCATGGGATTTTTAATCTGGCTACCTGTGGTTTTTGCAGTTAAAGCCCTATTCAGCAGTGAGAAGGGAGGGGGGAAGCGGAAAAAAAAAAAAGAAAGAAAACCAAAATCACGTTTATGTGCCAGTTTCGCAAATGCTCACACAGCGTGCATCACCAACAATGCTGGCAAACAGGAAACACTAATTATTAGCATTTTCTAATAAGCGTACGCCTTTCAAACATTATTGATCATTACCTGTCCGTCTCGTTTCCTGCATTCTTGAGTTTTACTCTCGTGCTCTGCCATGGCAGCGCGAAGCTGTTTTTCCAGTTTCTCGATTTCCCGTTCATGGTCTCGGACCAGGCAGTCCTTCTCTGCGTTGTGCTGCTGGAATAGGTGCGTCTTCTCCTGTTCATGCTCCAGCTTCAGCTCCACTATCTGATTGGACAGTGAGGAGTACAGTTCATCAATAGAACATCCTTGTCGTCATGACAACTCGTCTACAGCTTAATTTTCCCCTTAATTTCATCAAGTTGGCAATTTTATTTTTACGTCACTATTACCTCACCTTTTAAAAAGCCACCGTTAGCGTGACAGAATTCCTCCAGACAATTCCAACAATGGAGACAACCGAGCAAATCCAGCGCATCCTTAACCAATTTGTTGGTACAAATGTCGGAGCGTACAAAAAAAAAAAAAAAATTGCATTGTCGCATTCTACGTACAGTCCCCCCGTACCCTGCTGCTGCTCATCAGCAGGGCTGAGGATCCTAAATGGTTAATAGGCAGCCTGCTCTCCCCTTCGCTTAAGTATACACACACAACCCCCCCACCCCAGCAATTACATCTTTTAAAGATTTCTTTATGATTTCCGAAGCGAAAGCGCTTCCTTCAATTTTCCTCGACGCTGTCGTATATACAGTTGTCTTTTTTTCTTTTAATAAAAAAAAAAGAAAGAAAATTATAAAAAGCAAAGCTCTATTATCCCGTTGTCAGCTACGCTACCCCAACATAAACAGATGTATGTGTTCCAGAAGGGCACCTGCTGTGCTGCAAGCTTGCACCACGATTTCATAAGCAGCCCTCTATTCTCAGGATCCTTTCCCAGTCCGCACCACACTGGATGCTGTGACCTTGGCCAGCCTTAGCCTCTCCCCGCTAGCCTGAATGGCAGCCCGAGACGGAGGGCCTGGTTGCCGCAGCTTTGATACTAATCCTCCCCGCCTGCGCACAATGGCACCCTACCTGGCCTGCACACTGGAGCAGCCAGGCGGCCTTTGAAGCAGGTGATGAATAGGGACGGCAGGAAGCCGCTTCCCCACTGAACTCCGGGCCACACAGCTGCTAAGAACAGTCACTTGGATTTTTCTTCAGTTTTGGTGGATTTCGGAGGGCGGGGGTAGGGGGATGGAAGAAAAAAAAAAATGCTCTTATGAATATGGTGGGTTATTTTCAGCGTGAGAACAAAAAAAAAAGCAAACGGGAGGAGCCGGCTGTGTGTGCGCCCACGCGCCCCGGCACCTTATCTTAAAGCTGTAGCATTCAATTCTGGAATAATATTAGCTGTTTGCGTGGCTTTCGGGTTTAAAATTTGAAGGAAAGTAAAAAAGAACACATTTGCTCAAACTATGGATCAGCGTCTTCCGGGTTTAAAAGTAAAACGTGTCATCCGTGCTGCGGCCGGGAGCGTCCTTCTGAAAATGGAGCAAGTAGAACAGATGCAATATTCCACGGTTTAACGTACCTACATTATTTAATAATACTAAAGCGCTCATTAACAGACGTCTGAAGTTAGGAGTTAACCCCCCAGGAGGCATACATTATCTGTACTGGGCCCGGGATCCTTACACAAAGTTCTTTAAGTCAGGTTTTTGCCCAAGGTTTGTGTACAAAACTGGTTTCTTTTCAGACGCTATCAATGTCCTTAGTGTGCCTAAACGGAAGAATTCTTCTTCCCTAAACTAATGGTAAAGGCTTTGCCTGAGTTACGGGAAAAAAAGTTTAGAGGTTTTTCATAAATCAGATCTGACTAAAAAGAAATCGTGCCAACAAGAAAGGTCTTTTTATTCAAACATTTTCTTTTCTTAATTACTGGATTTTCAGCTGGTTGTGCCCTGTAAGGTCTGGGGTGAGACAGTTTGTTGTGGGGAACTTCAATTATTTAGGTTTTCACTTTTTTAACTGAAGACAAGAAACAGCAACGGCAGCAGCAGGGAATGTGTGCTGGAAGGGGGCAAGAGACAGATCCTGCCCCTTCAGCCAGTTACACCATACACGTATACGTCACCAGTTTACCCAACCAAAGTAATTAGTTTTATTTAGTAATCTCTTCACCTACAGCATTTATATTATAGATGCAACGGGTTTGAATTTAAGAGGTGGAAAGAGCTAAAAGGGACCGGTCCTTCTGCACGCAGGAGGGGTGTCCCCAGTCTGCTACGTGGGAAGAAAAAGGAAGGCAGTGTGAGGGGAGGTGTTTTATAAAAGGCAAATTCGTGGAAGAAAAAAACCTCACCACTTAAAGCACATTATTCCCCATGATGTTTTTGTTTTGCTTTTTAGAGATTTCTGACAGGGAGCAGGTGGAGAGACAGGAGAGGAGAGAAAGGACGGGGACGAGAGCATTTTCTTCCCTCAACTTCAAAGACCAAGAAGACCCATCTTCCCTAATGAATATTAACAAGTGCCCCACGTTTGTAATCAACAGAACGTGCTTTCCTGTACAAATAACATGAAGTGACCGAGTGGCTATCTGACTGCACTGGTGAACACTCACTGAACCTCCTGCTCTCAGAATTGCTGCCAAGCACCACCGTTTCTCTTCCACTCCTCCCTCTCTCTCATTCTTGTACTGTTGTTGGTTTTGTTGGTGTTTTTTTTTTAAAGGAAAAAAAATTAATGCATAACCAACAAAAGGAAGAAAACCATGCTGGTTTTCAGCAACAACAGGATTTCTTCATCACAGGAAGACGCATGAAAACTACATTAATTCTTCATAAATCCGTATGGATTCTGTCTCCTCTTTGAGGTAGAGTGTGCCTTTATGAATGATATAACAAAATCACCTCCTTTAAAAATTGTATCGTGTTGAGGTCTTTCTGCATCTACCCCTAGATGCTTAGCACTTCATCAGATTACATTAAAATGTCTGCTCAAATCCAGCATATACGTGTCCAGAAGACAGACGGTTTTAGGTACTATACATTTCAGACAGACAAGCAACACGATATTCACAATAGGAATTAGGGGCGACGCTGAAAAGAAACATTCATTAAATAATAGTGCGGGCCCTATTACCATAATCAGATTGTATTCATTGTGGCTTAGATGTTTCCTCATTTTGCCCTCCCAAAGATGAAAATCTCTTATTCTCTTCCCTGCGCATCTGCTCCTATTTCCAGCCATGGCCTGGACACTAAAACGAGCAGGACTGTCTGACCCCATATAGCTGTTCTTACCGTGAAACACTGTTATTATGAAGTAACATAAGCATTCTAAAATTATGATCTCCTCTTACATGACTTCTTCATTTTTTAATTCTTTCCGCACCAATATGGCAGAACCATATTCAAGGCAACGGCCAACGGCTGCTTTACTAAGCCATCACCAGAATGACACAATTTATTCTTAAATTTCTGCTTTTAACTGAAATTTAACAATATTTACTTACTCTTGCAGAGAAGAGAAAAGAGAAGACAAAATTCTTAAGAAAAAGCTAAAAACAGATTAATCCAAGAACTGTGACCGTCTTTTGCTATTCACTAGCATAAATACCAACGTACACGCAGACTGCCAAACAGCTCTGGCAATGTGGATCATGCCCATCCCATTGCAGGACACCAACAACTGCTGTTGAACGCTGGCCTTTAACGCAGGCAGACTTAACAGCACGTAAATGTGGAGGTGCTTTAGAACAACCTGCTAAAACGGGAGACAATCTAATAAAGCCTTAAAGTGAAATCATGCTGCTGTTAGCATGGGTTCAGTTAGTACATCTGAAGAACAGAGATCTACAGTAAATAGCCTGCTGATTGCAGAAGATATTTTCAGAAGCCAAATACTTGTAATGTAATCAATATCAGCCAATACCTTTTTGAAGTCCCTAATATAGACAAGACCTTCTACTATCCAGTTTTTGCTTTTACATCACACACTAAGTTTAGGCTTTTCAATTTTAGAACAATTTCAACTTGTTCTCAAGAACAAGTATGCCTTTGAAATTCTTTTTATAGTCCCCAAAGGAGGGAAAGGAAATTAGTTAGCTCACTACCTCTTTGAAAAATGTAGCTGCTACAATAAATATTTGACACCAAAGTATGAAAATTCATGTAAATTTATGTCCACAATTCCAGAAATATTGTAAGTAACACCTATATAAAAATATAGTTTTGCATGGCAGGATGATTTTATTAGTGCTATTTTGGCATGACTGAACTTCTGAGGGCTGGAGAAGCCACCGATAAGTTACACATGTCATGGCAAAGAACTGAACTAAACTCACTCGTACAGCATCCATATAGCACGTCTGTTGTGCAGCAATTCTATCTTATAAGCGTTTAAAGTGTTTGTAAATCAGGTGTTTTCATTATCATTACTCTGCTCAAAACCAGCCCTAAGCTCTGCCCAGCACAGCATACAGGATATGATCTATCCCCAAATAACAACCCTGGTAAATCTAGCATTTTCTGTCTCCTAAGCCTATAAATAAACGTGCGTGTTTCATGAGGATATGGGGATTACCCATCTCCGCAAATATACTGCTTCTAAAAGTAATCTGATACAACAGGCTGGAGGATCGAGTATTAATCATGCTGGGCTCTGGCTTAGCATAACTTTGGGCAGAAGAGAGGAATCTTCACTGCAAGGCATGGGAGCATACCAGAACTACTTTGCAGCAGATAAATGAAATGGATTTTAAAAGTACACTTTTTTTTTTGAGATTTTGCTGTAATTTGGAACACAAAGTACTCCCAAGATAAAAGGGCTGTAATGAGCCAAGGGCAAATGGGACAGTGAAAAATACATCAATGCAGAACCACATATTACCACCAAAGTAGCAAATACATACAGGGTAATGTATATGCGTAACAAATGCATTTTACTTTCTCTGTCATTGCAGGCTGCAATAATTTAATTGGCATAACTGTGTTTCCTGTTATACTTCACCTTATAATCAACCACTAATAACTGTATTTCAACTGCAAACTCAGAACTGCAAGAAATTCTTTAAAAGAGACAAGTTGGTCTATCAGCGAAACTGCAGTTTGATTTACCCTCCCCACTTCAACAATATACCTGAGTGGTCTCACTCTGTGTATAAAATGATACACCTGATCTGTAAATTTTTACTTACAAAGGCTTTCCAGAATTTTAATATTTTTAAAGTATGGGCAGCACAAACCTCATCTCAATTCTCCTATCTTCCCAATCCTCCTGCC